GACTCCATTCTTTTGAGGCTTAGAACATCCTTCATAGTCACACCAGAAGGACTCCATGTGAAAACCCCACTAAGTGAACTGAGCTTTACCTCACTCACCTGTATCCTTTGGACTTAAGGCTGAAACTCCATAGTGAGTAAAGCAGGTAACTGTTAGCCAAGGGCAAAGAACTGGCTGACGTTGGACTTTGGTTCAAATCTCTTGCTTTGAAAGTACCCAATGAATGGTGGCCAGGCGCTAGGATCTACTTTGTTTTTAATGTCCTCCTTGCCACTAGAGAAACCCTGGTGGCACTGCTGGACTGCTAAGGTAAGGTGACCAGATTTAAAGCGTGACACCTTTGACCAGGGGGATGGTGGTGGTGGTTCTTGATTACAAATTTGGTCTATATGGACCAAATAGACCGATTCCTAGCTTGTCGTGCATTCTTTAAAAAAATGCCAAAAATCAGGGCTGTCCCGCCAAATGCGGGACCTCTGGTCACCTTATTAAGGTCAAGGCTACCAGGCAAACCCACCAGCCACAAAATGGGAGGAAGCTGAGGCTGTGTGCCCCCATAAGGATTGACAGCCCCATCTTCCAGGGAGCAGCTGGTTCTTGTGGTTAGCAGCTCAAGTGTGTAGGCCACTATCCCAAGGCTTAGTCATGCTAGGGTGCCTTGAAAAAGGGGCCACGCAATTCCACTCGTAAATACAAACTCCAAAGAACTGAAAGCAAGTATTCCAACAGATGCTTGTGCACCAGGGTTGTTCTTTTCAGCATTAATCACAATAGCCAAAAACTGGGTGCGGGGGCGGGGGCGGGGGCGGGGAGGGGGAGGACGGCAGGGAGTCCATCAACAGATAAATGGATAAGCAAAATGATATATGTTGTGTTTTTCATACATAAAGAGAAATGAAGTTCTGCGACTGGATACAACACGGATTATCCGAGATAATAGACAGCATGCTACGTGAAAGGAATCAGACACAGAAGTCACACGTTTATCTGATCCCAGTTCCATCAAAGTCTAGAAGAAGGCAAATCTACAGGGAGGGCGACCTGGAGTGACTGTTAATGAATATGGGGGTTCTACTGGACGGATGCTCGTGGAGTTCTGGTATTAGATAGTGGGAGTGCTTAATATGTTTTAAAGTCTTAATATGTTTTAAAAGCCACTGAACCGTACACTTACAAAGGTGAATTTTATGTCATGTGAATTATCTTTCAAGAAAGTATTTAAGAAAAAAAAAAGTCCCATCAAAACCAACTTCTGAGATATACTAACTAGGCCTATTCAATTCAAGGCAGAGCTATCAGCCAAGGCAATAAGATAAGCTTGATAGATTTTTCTTTAAGGATATAGGAGGATTGTGAGGGTCATTCGATTTAAAGAAAATGGAAAACTGCTTTGATGAGAAAAATAGATCACCTGAAGCAAATTGGGAAAATATAATTCACAGTTAGAAGAGTTCAGTTAGCTGTCCCCAGCTCAGTCTCTGGTGGGTGGGCAACCATGCGATGTGTCTACATGGGTACTGAGAAGTATGATTTCTGTTCCAGGCCCACCTGCCAGGCCATGGCATGATGTTTGCCCACCACCAGTGCAAGGCATTTCTATTCTGTAAATAGAAATATCATCAAACTTTACAAAGAAGGGAAATCCTCTCAAGGTCAGGTGGACTGAAGCATTCCAAAAAGCAGTTGGGAAAAGGCTTACAGCAGATAATCCACTTGAATATGGAAAATGTAGAAATGCGAAAAATATGGGGGAGGGCGCGTGGGGGGAACTAGATGCAATGAAGAGTTACAAGATAAAGCAGAAACGTCCAGCTACATTCATAATGAAGACATTAAAGAAAAATTAAGAGCTACAGAAAGTCCAGGACATCCAAGAAGTCAAGCAACGTATGTCTGACCCAGGCAACCTCTGCAGGCAAAGGAGAGCCGCTGAACATACAAGGCTTCAACACTACATACAAGAGGATGTGAATATGGAAGTTGCGTCTTAAAAACCTGGCTGTCTGTAACCATTTCTCCTATGTGCATTTCTAAGTGATTGGTTTATCTTTCACATCAGTTCATTCAAATGGAAGGGGATTAAAAATAAATCTTATACTGCCATCTGTAAAACATCAGATGTCATGGATGTTCAATTGTATCCTAGTATTAAATATTCACCGATATACATATGTAAACCTTGAAAATTTATTATTACAGTAGCGAACTGTGGGCACAAATGGCTGTTTGGATAATGGCACGAAGAAGCATTCATGTGATGACAAAAATCATGGCTAATGATATATAAAACTTTCTTTGCAGTAAAATACTCCCTTTATTGTTAGAAGAGGTGGGCTACAATAAGGAACTAACATTCTATGAAAACTGGCTTTATAAAATTCCCCTCGCCCCCAAAGATTTGCTGTTTCAGTGTCTTAGAACATTGTGACCTCATATATTGCAGCCTGTATACTTCGTTTGCCAGTTGTGGTATCAGAGGTGAGGGTTGGTCAGTCTTTCTCTGAAGTGGCACTAAATTGGATTAATTTCCATATTGTAGAATATTGTTTTGAGATTTCTGGCAGAACGAGCTTTATTTTTTCCAATTAACTTTGTGTTAAAAGCAGAGCAATCCCAGCGTTTTTTTTTAAATTGATTTTTTAAAAGCCCGCATTTCATTTTAAAGGTACTAAAGAAAGCTTTTCTGTATCTAATACTTAGGAGAAATTAGCTTCCCAATACGTATAGTGCCTGACTTATAACAGGGCTCCATTCCAATGGCCGTCATGTCAGTTCTGGTACGTTGAATACTTCAAAACAAAGTCATTCGACCACTCCCTGTACATGCTCCTCCTTTCCCATTCACTTGACCACCTACAAACTAGCAGTTTCTCCAAGGACACTAGTGTCTTTTACCTGGAGATGCTGCGTGGACTCCATTTCACGAGATCCGCCTGTTCCGTCAGGACAATGTCTCACTTTCTAATGGCTCCTCAGTCCAGTGTCTTCACTGAGACACCAGTGTACCGTAGCTCAGCAAATTAGTGACAAAGAAAGTTAAGGGTGCTGGGAACACACTCATTTACAAGCCAAGCCAGCAAAAACACAATTCCAGAAAAATATGGGTCTGAAGTAGGTTTAAGCAGAGGGAACTACTTAATCTTAACTATGGTAATCCTTAGTTAATTTGTGATGTTACCTGGGAGATTAAAATGTTTTAATATATTCTATGAAAACACATGAGGGCATGATCCACTCGGTATTTTTATTTAGTTAATTCTTCAGGAGCTAGGCTTCCATTATTGTGAGAGGTTAAGTTCTCTTTCCTGGGGGTGCTGTAACGTAGGTGGCCAGTAGTATGAGATCCCTACTCTCCACTATGAGCAAGGGTAAACAGGTTCATGTAGAATCTGAATTTTCTATGAGTTTTCCACACTGTAAGGCATCCTGAGGTAAACAATTTACGTATCACTCAGTAGTAAGACTACATGGCTGCTTGGTAAACTTGATGCACTGATTTGAAGTCATCGGAGACCTACAGATTCAGTCACATTCAATAAACATTTTAGAGTTAACTTTAAAAATTTGGATTGTCTAAGCAACAAGATTGAAGCAGATACTAAAACCCTACAATCTAAATTTGTGTGTGTATATTTCACTGTAATAATTTACTTTGTGTTCCTGAGCCACCCTTTAACTTTAAAAAAAAATTTTTTTATTATTTTTTAGAAATCATTTTATTGGGGGCCTCTTACAAATCTTATAACAATCCATCATTCAATCAATTTAAACTTTTTATGTGTACAGAATGATACTAAAAGTTAGACAATTTGGGACAAGACTAATGTTTAATAAGATTATTTTTCTGTTCATATTGTGTACCACACAGAATATTTTTAGCTTTAGCTTTGCGATATATCAAAAAAAATACTCCAAATGATCTTATACCATGATCATACAGTTCTGAAAATTTAACAACCAGTAACTGTTTTTGCAAAAGGCTACATTAAAGTATTACTTCTTCAGATTACCAGTCTTTTTACTACGCTTCAAAAATCAGAGGGCTTGATGGTAGGATGCTACCACAGTTTCAATTTCCACTAAGGCAGTGAAACCTCTGAAAGTCTAATAGTGTAGCTAAACGTCCTATTCTTCATATTAGAAAAGGTGCATGCACCTCAGAAGTGGAAGTGTGCAATTTCGTTTCATTGCAAAAACACCCACAACTAAAACAGATATTTAAAATCTTTATTGTTTCATCATCAGAAGGTTTCTTTCCATAGTAGAGTGGCAATGCTGTTATCAGTGCATATCCTATGGAAAATTCACACTCCAAGTAACTAGCCTGAAGATCAGAGACAGCGCTAGGTCCAGCTAGTGTGCGCGATCCAAGACACAATGCTGTCAGTGCGGCGAGTATACTGAGAATATGCAGCTGTTAGAAAAAAGGGCATGGCAAAGTGAATCAACAGTAGCAGTGCACTGCACTGACACCCTAGGACAGAACGTGGGAGAGGAACAGAGAATCTACTTCCTGCACATCAATTAGGCCACAGGCACAGAGTTTCCAATTGCATCCAGAGCTGTCTAATTCATGGGTACCTGAATTCTCCTTTTCCTGGAGGGTCATTACAGTCTAGAACAGTGGGCTTCCCAAAGTCGATGATACTGCCCTCTGGGGGTACTGGAGTGATCCAGAGGTGGGGGTGGGGGGCCTGCAAAAGCAGATACCTATACTTTATCCTGGATTATGGGTTACAATACAAAAGGTTTTAATTGCCAGGCAGGCACTGAGTAACTTTTTTTCTGAAAAGGGGATGGGAGTTCAAATAAGTTTGGGAACTTATGGAGAACACTGTAACAACCATCTTCCATCTAATGTGTACATGGTACAGCCACATGCTAGTATTTCATCTTGCTTTCTGTCTCACAGCTAAAAGCAACAACCTGTGTTAGGCAATGAAATTTGTGGCTTGAGGCATCTTTAGTAAAAAGCTGAACAAATCCAAAATATGTTCCCGTTTTCTTGAGCAATAAACTTTATAAAACAGAAGATAGCTCTCATGATTATTTGATTTTGTCTACAGGCAAAACAGTTTTTAAGGACAGTGAATAAGCATACAAACGCACGCCCTTAACAAAATACTGTCAGACCGACTGAACATTGTCACAACCCGCCCTGGAAAGCCCTGGGAACCGTGAGATGCAAGGAACGCCTACAATGTGAGCAGGACTGGGCACTGGGGAATTTTTGGTCAAGTGTGTGTCTCAAGCTGTTATACAGCTGAGTTTGGCTACTTTGCATTAATTCACACAATAAATGCCTTTTAAAAGAAACAGCTAGCCTATCATGAGGAAAATCAAAATAGTTGAGAGATGCACAGGAAACTTGTCCTAAATATTCTTAAATTACATATGATATAACCTTAGAGAAGGACAACTACAATTATCATGGTCTAAACCTTAAATTGTTAATGTATAAAGCATCTGCAAGACTAACAAATCTCTTGTTAGCCATGGCAAGGCCTTGCGGGGGCTCGGGGCACTCTGAATGTATGGCATAGCAATTATTGTCCAGGTAAGTTAAACACTTCTAGTTTTGTGTTATTAACCTGTATTTGAGAAGTTATTTTCCTTAATATCTGTAATGTATAAAATAAGTTAAAAGGCGGAATCAGGAAAAGGATTTCTTGGTGCAAACATACAACTTTCCCTCATCAGTAGTTCCATGTATGTCCATTCTACCAATGGTAAAACATGAAAGGCTGATAGGAAAAAAAGAGAAGAGTTCACTTATAAATACAAACAGGATTCAAAAAATGGAATTTCAATGGTTTCTTCCCACAATGCAATTCACTTGCTTTCTACTTTTAACTACAAGAAACAAAAACCGTATCTCAAAAACCAGTTTTCACACGCTTACAAGTTGAACAATAAACCCTTTAACAATTAAGGAAAACACTCCTTTGTAGCAGTTCTATAAAATAATTTCAATTCACAAAACACCTGCTATTTATTAGTAAAACCTTCAACCCTTATTGAGGGCATGGGCATCAATACTTTGCCCCTCTGAGGTATAAATGCAACTAATATTTGCACTTAGTATTTATTCTGTAAGATTTGCCAACAGTCTCTGTGTTTGCATAAAGTTGGGAGTGATTTCACCCTGACTGACTGAAAACTTATTTTTGCAACTTTTTATAATAATGGAGGTTAAATAATTTTAAAAGATGTACTCGAACCCATTAACACAGCCAACAGGATTCTGAAATTTTAACCAATGATAATGGTTATTACATTCTTAAAAAATGTTTAACATTGTAGATTGAATTAAAAAAAACAAAACAAAAACTGAACAGGAAAGACATAAATATTTAAATCCAGCAGGACATCACAAAAAAGCACTGTAGATAAGTGTGAAATCAGTCAAACTTTTCCAAATGACAAAAAAATAAAAATGCTTTTAATCCTTCAGCAGGTCTCAGTGACAATAGTCTGCTTAGACTGACAGTGAAAGTGGAGCACCTCAAACACTCCCAGGACTTGCTCTTCTACTCAGCACACTGCCCCATCTCCTTTGCGTGGACGGCAACACATGACAGAGTGCATCTTTTGAGAGTCCAGCAATTCCTCTTCACCACTGCTGCCAGCTGAAGTCATCATTGCTTCCGAAGACCAAGAAAAAGCCTAGTATGGTCGCGAAGATGACTGTGTTTCCTGTGAGAACAAGTGCACACGCTCCCCACTCGATCTACAGCAATAGATAGAAACGCTCAGTTAACAGAGCGTATCGAAACAGAGACAGTGGAAAGCAAATCCAGATTCTAGCTGTATGATAATCATGAACTCGAACAAATATGATTTGTCATAACAACGCATAATATGAATGTTTAATTGTACTGAGTGGGGTTTTGTATATGCTTGGCTCCTTTAAAGCAGCGGTTCTCAACCTGGGGGTCACGACCCCATTGGGGGGGGTGTTGAATGACCCTTTCACAGGGGTTGCCCGATTCATAACATTAGCAAAATGACAGTGATGAAGTAGCAACAAAATAATTTTATGGTTGGGGGTCACCACAACATGAGGAACTGAAAGGGTCACGGCATTAGGGAGGTTGAGAACCACTGCTTTAAAGAGACAAAACGTAGTGGAGGTATTCAAAAGCAGGCTTAACTTCTGGAATCACAGGAGGCAGCACAGAATTCCACGTTTCTATTTATAAAGAAGTTTTCCCTAACTTTCCTTAGTGAAGCTACAATTCTTTCTAAAGTCGATTTTCATCAGAGATGAAAATAACAGAGATGTACACTCTGTTCAGAAGCCAGGGGAGCTATCCCCTCTCCACATGGAAGGGTGCTCGTGCCTTGTCCTCCGGCTCCCAGACAGAGATGGAGGAGTGAATCTGCAGGTGAGCCTAGGGGGGTTCTGAGTGTACGCCGCTCAGCCTCTTCCCTAGGACTTGCCCGCCTGCGGAGGACACACAATCTCCCCAGTCTCCCGGGTTTTAGTTTGACCTTTTAATGTGACACAACATTTCGTTGTCTTGTCAGTAAAACACGACACTTAGAACTGGATCACCTGGCCCTTGCTCTCACCTCCTCCCCGGTCAAACCCTTGCCTCTCTAACTCGCCAACACGCCTTAGATATGCAGTTGGGTGCAACACCATCTTCTGGTCGTTTCAGCTTCCTCTGGAAACAGGCTGAGTCTGCCCGCCAGAGCCACTCTGCTTCTGTCACACCGTCACTCTCCCAGGACATACCGAGATCTTTGCCTTGCTTGTACTGTGGGTCGCTCGTGGCGCTGGTGTTTGACACACTTCTTACAGAAAAGTCTGGAGGTTTTAGTGCTACCAGCACAAAAAGAAAACTCCCACGTTTTAAACTGGCCAAGACAGGCCTCTGGTTATTCAGCACTACGTCAGCTGACACTGAGTCTGAGAACACAGCACGAGCCAGCCATCTGTTGCTGTAGACCCGGGCCATGCGCTCTAATAGCATTTTAATCGGTTAACAACTACAGTTTGATTTTCTGCTCTGTCCTCCAGTCATATGTCTCTTGTGTCTTTTTTTTTTATAAGAAAGAGATTTATATACAAGAGGAATTGAACATTGAGAAAGCATCCCAACCCAGTCCCGTCCAAGCCCGTAAGTCTGATACTAGTCTTGTGTCTTTTTTAAGCTATTTAACAAAAAGTTTTTGTTGGGGAAAAATTTAAGAGAGTCTAATATAAAATCACTAATAGAAGGAAGCACCAGAAGTGTGTCACTTACCAGGTGTGCTCTGGCAAAAACAACAGGGAGTCCAAAAGCTGAGACGACAATGCCTGTCGTAAGAAATATGGCAAGTTCCTTACAAGCATTGCTCATTGCATCTGTATCATCTACTAATCTTCTTGCTATGCAGGATGGAATTGGTGAAAGGATGTAAAAAAACAGAACAAAGAGCGGCCAGTATTGGCTAGAAAAAGACAAAGAAGTTAATGTAGTTTTTTGCTATTCACACTATTTTTCTAATTGCAAATGTGCTTATCTTAAAATAAGACACAAGGGAATACTGCAAGGCACAAAACATGAAAAGGATTAAAAACAAGCTATAACATGAACAATGAAAAGGGAAGTAACATTTTGAATTATGGTATCCTTAGAATCTATTAAAATTCAATATATTTTCCTCATATTAATATATAATGCTTTAGAACAATTGCAATCAAGCCTAAAACATCATTTTAAATCATAAAGAGGCATAAGGAGAATGAGGCAATTAAAGTAGTAATTCTTAAAAGTTCACGAGTCATGCCTGATTTCTAATGCTAGTATATAAAAATACATATACATATCCTGACGAGCAGCTCAAACAACCTCAACCTGCCATGCACACACATCTTCCTTAGGTCAGCAGGGATTCCCAAATACTGAGACCAAGAGATGGAAGACCAATCGAACGTCCTATTTGGAAAAACTAACTAACAAAGCAAAAAAATACAGTCCTATCTGGAGATCTTCACTCAGAAGTCATACGAGTCTGTAATCCAGTTCACTGTATTGTGCCAATGTCATTTCCTGGTTCTGATAACACCCAGTGATAGCAGTGGAGAACACTGAACGGTTCAGGTGACTTCTTGTACTGTTTTTGCAACTTCTTAAAGTTTAAATTATTTCAAGATAAAAAGTTAGCAAGCAATAGATGGCCTTTAAAACTGCTGTAAAAGAAAATATACATCACACTAGCCACACCAAAACAAAACAAAACTGAAAATCACTCATCACTGCCAGGGAGCCAGTTCTGACTCCGTGACCCCACAGGCCAGCCCGGGTAGGTGTTAAGGCTGTCAACCTCTAAGGGAGCAGGCAGCCTTCTCTTTCTCTAAGGACAGGTTCAACTCTGACCTTGGGATCAGCAGCCCAACAAATAACCTGCTACACCCCCAAGGCTCCTACATCAGAGTAAAGATTTATTTACACTTCATGGCTTATTAAGTAAATGTTCATGTTTATATTTTCCCTAAATATTATGACATGAATTCCAAATACTCTATAAGCTAAAAGAAAAAAAAAATCAAATACGAAAGTGAAAACAAAAAGCTCCCCCCATCTCTCCAGCTTTCTTTCGCTCCCCTATTGAACTTCTTGTGTCGTCCCTCTCTCTCCTCTCCGTGTGACGATATATACCGAGCACGTGTACTTATCAATACTTACAGCTCTCCCTCCTCCTTTTAAAGACTGCCTAGCAAGTACAAGGATAGATGCTTCATGACTTAACCACTTTTCTCTGATGCGCAGTTAGATTGCCTCCCGCTTCCTCTCTCAAGGGAGGCCTCTTCTAAACCAGGCTGCCAACTCCCAAGTGTCTCCCTGCAGACCTATCTTTGCGAACATCTACAAGTATATGTTTATGAGACATTCTAAGGGCTAGATTAAAGAGTTTATGTTTTGAGAGCTACAGGCCACTGGCCTCCCAAATATTTGTACCTATTTGTACTCTGACCCACAGTACGTGACAAAGCCTGTTTGCCCACATGTTTTTATCTTGGCCTACAGATTTCACTAATTTACTAGCAATTTTCAGTGTTTTTATATTTGTTCATATTTCTAAAATAGTTTGTTTCTTGTTAATTTAAAAAACTTTATCTATCTTGTGGGGTTTACATTAACACCACCCTAAGAATTTGGTCTTCGTCCTCAGCTGCCGAAAAATAACCTCTTAAAAAACCAAAACACAACAGAAAGCCCTGATGGTGTAGTGCTGATGCAGTGGGCTCCTAGCCACAGCTCTGCAGTTCAAAACCACCAGCAACTCCTTGGGATAAAGACGGGCTTTCTACGCCAGTGAAGACTGAGTCTCAGAAATGCACAGTCCGCTTCCCTACTGGGTTGCTATGGGCAAGCACTGACTCAAAGGCACTGAGAGTGATAAGGACTCTACCTAACTACCAAGTTGGGGGAGGTGAGGGGATGGCTCTGGGGTGGAGGCAGGCCAGGCTGAACGATATCTTGTGATCGCCACGTGATACTGATTAGTCTGAGGAGACAAGAGCTGGAGTTTACATCACATCATGGGATCCCCACCAAAGGTCTGGACACGGAAGCTCCACGGGCTTCCTGGTTGGTGAAAGTCATCCATGCATGTAGGAGGGTAACTGGAAAACCTTCCAAACATGTCTCTCTCCAACTGTTATCCAAGTTTGGTCTTACAAAGCTATAATCATAAGTGTAATTTCTGTGAGTCATTCCAGCAAAGGACCCTGGTGGCGTGCTGGTTACGAAGTTGGGCTGTGATCCACAAGGCTTGCAGCTCGAAACTGCCCGGGTTCTGTAGGAGAAAAACGGGTTTCCTACTCCCATCGCTACAGTCTCAGACACCCACAGGGCAGTTCTGCTCTGTCCTATAAGGTTGCTATGAATCAGAATTGACTAGAAAGACCGAGTTGTGTTTGCTTTTTTCTTTTCAGGTCAGCAAATGAGTAGGGAGAGCCAGGTCCTACGTAAGAGGATCTGGGAAACCTCTGAGCCTATGGATAGCCTGCTGAGAGAGTAAGGGAACTCTCAAATCTGTGAGAAGTGAGGGATTCTGAGGAGGCCCTGAGTTTTTGGCTGGAATTTTAAAATAGTTGGACTACTCTGAATTTGTAGGCAGCAGGCTGGATGCAAAAGGCACGCTGGGTATTCCCTGGTTTGCAGCTGGCATGTAAAATGTTGAGCTGACTTGGGCGTCCGAAGGATGGTGTCCATTTAACTTGTGAGAGCTGACCTTGCTCCAGGTGGTTAAGGTCATAGAAAGAAGTGTGCTTTGGTCCTAAGAACTGAATAGAGATGGGGAAAAGCAAATGATGCTTATGTTGAATTTGACTTGAGATTTCTATACAAAGCATATGCTAGGCCAAGTTAATGGTTTACATGATTTTGATGTATTATAACTTTGCTGATGGCATCCTTTAATGTAAAGGTTTAAATTTTCATGTGCTTAATTTCATAAATAAAACCAACTGCTGTTGAGTCAAAACTGACTCATGGCAACCTACATGTTACAACAGAATTATAGTGGGTTTCTTGTGGCTGATTTCTCAGTGGACTGCCAGGCTTGTCTTCTGAGGGGTCTCTGGGTAGGCACACACCTCCAACATTTTTGCTACTAACTGAACTTGTTAATTGCTTGTCCCACTAAAGGACTCCCAACTGTATGAAACTGAGGACTACAGCAGTTTTCCAAAACAGGTGATACCTATTTAGTTTTCCAAAAATAAGGCTGAAAAAACAGATACCTATACTTTAATCTGGATAATGGCCTATGGCACTAACGTTTTTCGTTGCCAGGGGGTGCTGAGTAATTGTTTTTCTGAAAAGGAGGCAGTAGGCCAAATAAGTTTGGGAACCTATGGGTTAGAATGTTGTTATTTTGACATTATAGACGCAGCAGACGTCAAGGAGCAGGTAAGAGTTCAAAAGTCTACATTCTGGTATCCTGAATCTTTACTAACAAAATTTACATATTGAACTTTGGGTTTATGCATGGCAAATGAACATTTTTTCTGCAATGCTTAACAGTAGTATAATTTTTTTAAAGCTTTAGAAGTAGAATATTTTCACTTTTAAACACTCAAAAAGACAAGATTTTTACATACTTGTATATCGGAAGGGCACATCCAAGCATCAAAAACATCAGCCCAATTGCACCTCCAAAGGACAAACTAATCAAAGCTGCAAAGCAAATTAACAAGTCAAATGGAAATATCAGTTAGTGGAATTAAGTTCTAGTTTGAATACTTATAGCTAGAACAATGCCTATAATACAGAAACAAAATCCCAAACAAAAAAATCTAACTGTCATAAAAATGAGTTAACTTAGAAAGTATGTTATTTAGTCTTAGAATAAGTCTTAAGGCATCCTCAAGGTTAAATAGCGTGCTATTTTACTTCCTTTTAAAGCCCTGACCTAGCACGCCACATTTCCGTTATTAGCTCTCTTTCAGGCAGCACGGCAGCCCCTGAGATCAATGCCTTCGCTCACAGGCACAGGCACGGTGGCGTATTTGCGGCACAGGCCACTACAGTTTCACAGACTGCGGAGCAACTCGGTCTTATTGGCCTCACTCAATGGAAAAGCCTCTCCTGAGCAGCCCTTGCTTCTGGCAAACATACCCCATCTCCCGTATCTATAAAACACATTTGAAAAAAGTATCCATGTTTATTGGTTGTTAATTTTAAATCAATTCATTTTGTTATGGATTTTTAAATAGTTTGCAAAACTAGCTGTATTTCCTCCTTTAATCTTTATACATTAGAAAACTTATAGGCTAGGGGGTACAATCTGTAGTATCATCATTTTAAGGCAGTATCACAAATAAATGAAATGCAATACAATTTCTTAGGGTGAAATACAGGTCTAAGTTTTTATAAGAGGGGAAGTCAAAACATATTGTTGTTAGGGTTCCAGGTCACTTCCTAACAGAAAGGGTGTGAACCTGTCTCTGTGATCAAGAGGGCTGTAGAAATGCTCTCTCACTATTAAACTTAGAGTGCCTTCCTACACACAGAAAGGCCCAATCAAAACAGTGGCTAATTCAAGGTGGAGTGGTTATGGCAACTGTGCCTTGAGATTCCAGAGAGGTATCTTTTTTTTTTTAACAGTTCTATTGGCACTTAATCCACATATCACACAATTCAATAGTTTAATCATAACAAGCAACCATTACCACAATCAATTTTAGAACATCTTATTTCTCCCCACTCCCTCCATCCCCGACGGTTAAATTGCTTTTAAAATGAGTTGTGTAGTCACTATCAGTTCTGGAGAGTGCTGCCTCCCGCCTCCCACATACATTGTTTGCTTCCCTAATCCACTCACTCTGCCCCCACCTTCCCCTATAAACCCTTGCATCGGTTATCTCTATGCCTTTACTCCTCCTGTGCTTCAAAAACTGGAAACCCAACAGAAACAGTAAAAAATAGAAAAAAATAAAGTGGTAAGGATGAAATAATAATAGAGATAAAAACACAAATAATGAGTAAGATGGAAAAGACCACCATGAATATTTAAAAGGCCAGGGAAGAAATTTTTGTCATGGAGCAAGCAAGAAATACTTGCATCTAGAAGAATCTTGTGGGATCTGTGAGATGCTTAATCAGACTAGCGGGCTCTGAAGATGGGGTTTGGACTCCCACTGTCCTTCACAGCTTTCTACAAATTGGGTGTTCAAAATTTAGGAGTTGATATTTTTCCCTTTGTCATATTTGATTTTTGTTATTGTCTTTGGATCACACCAGCTGGTGTGCTTCTTCCATGTGGACTTAGTAGACTCCTTGCTTAGACGGCTGCTTGTTTGAATGCAAGCTTTAAGACCCCGGACGTTATTCCAATCGACAACTTAGCACCATCTGCTTTCTTCACCACACTTTGCTGTCGCACCCTTACCTTCAGTGACCATTTCATGAAGGTGACTATCAAGCAGGGCCATGTGATGAGAACTGTTCTTGGATTGGGGCTAGAGTTCAGTGGGGGCCCATAATCCATCTGCTTGTCCCTGGTATATGAATGACTCAGGTTTGTTTTGGTAGTCGTATTTTGACAAATTCAAAACCCCATGAGATCAACACCACCAACAAATCAACTAGCACACAAGATACAAACAAAAACAAGCAAACTAAATGCAGGGGGGAAAATCCCATCAAAACAGGAAACTTAATCATTGTCAATCACCCTCCTGGGGTATAAGGTGCCTGCACTGTAACGTCAATTTTTCCAGTGATGACACAGCACTCTGGGCACTGTACATATGAGGAGTCTAGGCAAGTACAGTCGCACCGTGAGCCGTAACCCATGAGCTGTGGCTCCACACAGTTTGATCTCCCACTCGACTGAGCGGTTTGCCCTGAGCATGGAGGCTGGTGCCCGGGGAAACTTCCTGATCAGCTCTTTCAAGTTCAAACTCCTACCCAACAACAGATCAGAATCTGTCATGTTGCTGCAAGGGGGCAGAGGGGTAGCCTTGAAATATTTTCTACAGAGGGCAAACGTGGAGGCTTATTATGAAAAAGTTTTAAGTTTTAGTCGAAAACTTCAATGGTGAGAAAAAGGCTAGGAAAGTTGCACTGAGAAATTTTTTCCATTATGACAATAGACCTGTTCATTCTCCAAGAGTAATGAGGGCTGCCCTATGAGAACTGTTTGGAAATCTCAATAAATACCCCACTCGTGCCACAGCCCTGATCCTGCCCTTTCGGACTTCTTTTTGGCTTCAAACTCAAAGAATACTGAAAATGAACACAATTTAAGTTCCTCAGGGATGCCTAAGCTGCCATTGGCCTAAATCAAAGAGCACAGAACCCTTTGTGGAAAGGTTAGAGGTGGAAACACCACCTTCAGCAGTGTGTATAGACCTAGATAGAGGATATAATGAGAAACAATGTCTTCACATTTTGGTATTTTTGTTTCGTACAGGTTTCTATGATTTTGTAGCAATACTTCTTGACTTACCCTCATATGTGTGTCTATATACCCATACAATGCATTACATTACATTTTATAAAGTACTTTCATTATGTTAGTGGGCAGAAATAACTTTCTAGAACTGCGATAGTGAATGGTTTAGGATTAAAGCAAAGAAATAGGTTACCAATTTAAGTTCTATATAAACAGTGACTAGCAGAATAATTCTGGTTGTCTTAAAGTTACTAAGACAAAAGCTAAACTCTTAAAAACTAAAATGAACAGGAAAGGGGTTAAATTCTGTCAGAGTCTACTGTATACTTCTTAGATTTAAAATGGTTATGGTCAAAGACCTGCATCCACTGATGCTGTGGCTTGGCATTATTTGGATTTCATGACCTGATGTAGTCATGACAATTCTAAACACATTTCCTAAGTCCTTAATGCCCGTATATTTTCAAAGGCAGAAAGGGGCACAACCAAGAATACAAAGGAAATGTAACACAATCTGAGAAAATGCTGACGTTATCATTTATTTTACCTACTTCAAAGGGGGCCCTCTGATCTAGTCTCGACACATATTCCTCTGTTGTCTGCTCTGTTTCCTGGAAGTCAGCTGGGTCCCTCACCCACATGGCTGTGCAGACCTTGGACCTTTTACCTCAGATACTTTTTTGTGCATTCAGGAGATACTGACTGAGAGCCAAGTGTGTACCGAGTGCCGGGATATGGTAGTCAAGGAGACGGCCGCTGACAATCATGAGGCTTGCTCTCTTGTGCCGCTCCTTTCCTCCAAGTGAGCACCCTTTGTGCCTTCAATTCGGAGCTCAATCCCTCAGTGAAGTTTTCCCAATTCTCCACACTAGACCAATTTTTCCTATATTTATGTACTCTCTCATTCAATGAATGGCGACTGAGCACCTCATGTGGGCCATGTGCTATTCTGGAGACTAGGCTCAGAGCAATGAAAACAATCAAAGCTTGTGCTATCGTGGGAGAGTAAAATAATGATAAAAGTAAGCAACTGTCAAGTGCCACGGGGAAAAAAATCAAGCAGGGTAGAGGGATAGGAGTGCTTTTTCAGACACAGTGGCAGGGGGAGGCTTCCTGGTTGAGGTGGCACCTGAGCATATGAAATGAGGGTGTAAGCTACATGCCAGCTAGGGATAAGCACTGCAAGTAGAGGGACATGCATGGGCAAAGGTCCTTTTTGCTCAGCTATTACAGCTACAATTTTATGTTGATTTGTATTTGTCTTCCCTTCTAAATTGCCTACTCCAGGAGAGCAGAGAGCGCATTTTTCTGTTGTTAACATTCATGGCCCACCTCTTTCCACTCAACAGCAAGAACCTGTGTGACAGACAGACAGACACACACACACACACACGCACCCCAACCTCTCTCTCTCTCTGCACCCCCCCCAGTGTTATTGTGAACTATCAAGTCAATCTCCACTGACTTCCCCCAAAGTAAAGTTGCTCAATAAGGTTTCCTAGGCTGTGATCTTTAGGGCAGGAGACCGCCATGTCTTTCCTTTCATGGAGTGGCTGGTGGGTTTGAACTACCAACCTCTTGATTAGCAGTGGAGCTCTTAATGACAGCATTATGGCTAGCCAATGATACTTTATGACGTCTCCATTCTTCTATAAAATGAAAATGTTGGAGTAGATCTAAAATGAAAAGCATTCTTTGAATGCTAAACGTTATTCACTAAAGAAGTAAAAATTCATCCCCATTTTTTGAAGTTGAGCTGTCAAGCTAAGTTTTTCACTAACAACACTATGTATAACATCGCACTTATTCAGAAGACTCTAAATACATACACATAGCTTAGACTCTTGGAAATAGCAGAGGTTACTAAAGAGACAAAATAAACGTCACAAAGGCCACATACGAAAACTCTGCATTAAGATAACCTTCAGGCTCTTCTTCAGAGGTTATTCATGTTTGTGAAAAATTGTGTGTGAACCCAAACAGTATAAAATATTATTTTAAAGAATCATCTACGCTTATTTATATTTTACTACAAAGGTAAATTCATGCAATGATAAACGCAAAGGTAAATGAAAAGCCAGGGTTTCCTTCCCAGAACTGATCACTGTTCCCTGTTTCTGTGACACAAAAGTGTTTCCTGGGTTGAAATAAGGTGCCCTGGTAGTGCAATAGTCGAGTGCTGTATGTACACACACACACACACACACACACACACACACACACAAACACACACACACACTCTCTCTCTCTCTCACGGTGTGTTCAGGAGAAAGGCCTGATTGATAATGCCCTGTGGGAAAAGGAACGCCTAGAAAATCCTCTGGGCCTGAAAAGGAGAGCTGGATCCCAGGGAAAACTGCCCTCTGACAGGCGGGAGGACATGAAAAAAATATTTTTTAAATCAAGCAGGACATTCTCAAAAGACACAGAAATCTCAGTAAGAGGCAAATCATCTTAGATCAGAATTTTAAAAGCCTGGTATTATGATACTCATGTCCTCAGTCATCAAAAATATCTGAGTACACTCTTAAAAGGTTAATGAAGGATGATTTCATTTTAAAAAATACAGAAACTAAAATGAGGTATCAGGTGTCAAAAACAATCTCATGCAGTATCTCATCTCTTAATAATATTGGGTACGATAAAAGACAATGAAGCTAAGTAAATGGCTCAAAAGTATAACCCAAATTTGCAACTAGGATGGCGTTTTATAAATTTCATCATTTGTATATAAATTGTTCTCTTAATGACACATCAATGTGGCAAGAATTTAAACACTAATTGAGTGACGCAACACTTGGAAGATGAATCGGGTTTCTACTCCCAAAGCCTCTAGGCTAGCAATGGAATAGCATGACTACCTCTAGAGACAAGACGTGGGGGGTTCTGTGATTACAAAGGGGAAAACATTACTCAAACCAGTCACCTATCACCCCAAAACAACTCACTGCCACCAAGTTAATTTCAACTTAAAGAGATCTACAGGTAAAAGTAGAACTGCCTCTTTGGGTTTTGGTAACTATAAATCTTTACAGGAGTAAGGATTATGATAAGAATTGTATGAGCCCCCAATCAAATAATTAAAAAAAAAATCTTTACAGGAGTAAAAAGCCTCCTTTTTCCTTGCAGAGTAGCTGGTGATTTCGAATCTTGTAGTTAGTGGCCCAACCCATAACCCACTATGGTACCAAGAAAACAAATTGGAGCAGGACAAAGGACTTGTTCCCTAACCTGGGCGTACACAGAAAACTCAACATACAGGCAGTCTGCCGGTTATGGGATCAATTCTTCCGTGTCTTTCAAAGGAATCTGTAGGTCAGTTGGTTCTTATTTAGCCTCCCTTCCGGACACGAGGGGCGCTGTGGTGGCACAGTGGTTAAAGTGGTCGACTACTAACCAAGAGATTGGTCACTGATGCCACCAGTTGCTCTGAGCCTTTTCAATGATTGACAAGTTGCACAGGCAGCAGTGAAAATGTCAGGGATGAAGAATTTGTTACAAGTAGGGGTTGGTTCAATCTTTTGAAATAGGGACAAATTTACATAGCATTAATGAGTAAGCATGAGCTGTCCTTGAGTCAAACACAGCAAGAAAAATCCATGGACTCTCATGATAGCAATATAGATGCTAGGCCAGGGTTCCTCAAACTACGGCCAGTGGGCCACATGTGGCCCGCCGAGGACATTTATCTGGCCCGCCGGGTGTTTTTGCCGTTTTGTTTTTTACTTCAAAAGATATGTGCAGTGTGCATAGGAATTTGTTCATAGTTTTTTTTTAAAACTACAGTCTAGCCCTCCAATGGGTCTGAGGGACAGTGAACTGGCCCCGTTTAAAAAGTTTGAGGACCCCCGTGCTAGGCCAACAGGCAGTGAGAAAAAATGGATGCCCGATAAGCAATCATAACCACCAGAAAAATCATATGCAAACCCAGAGTGGTGAGTGCAACTCTGAGGCACTTTCATATGATTAAAATGTACCGACGTTGGCAGTTCTATCTGCTCAGCA